AGCCCCCACCTGCCCCCCCAGCTTCATCCCTGCCCTCACCCTCTGCTGTTCCCAACGACCCCCAGTCTCCCAATCAGCACAAGGAGCCCCTCTCCCACCGCCTCAACGACTTCATGGCCTCCAAACCCAAAATGCAATGCCTCCGGAGCCTGAGGCGAGGGGTAAGTCCGTATGCGTGCGCGCGTTCAGCTTCGTGCATGTGTGTGTGTGCGCCATGTACCTGCTGTGCTGTATGAGTGAAGTCCTGAGGTCACCACTGTGTTATATTTGGCTACTAGTAGCTGATAACATTGTAAGCAGTGTGACCTCGGTTAAAGAATAGCCCCCGTGTCACCCTTTTATATTCATGTTGACAAAGTCGTTTTTATAACGGAATATATTGGGTGCAGCCGGCATTTGACCTTTCACTCATACAGCTCCTAGGCTTCTGCTTCTCTAGCATGCTTTTGTAGCACATAATCGTATATTCATTGTACTGGTCTGACTCACCACCATCTCCATCTTGTTCCCTCATTCCTCCTATTAACTCTGCTCACACTGATAGCCCCTCCCGTACACCTTCCCCTTTCTTGACAGCCAAACCCCATGAGCAGTCTGTGCAGTAGCATGGAGACAGGAGTCGCTCCCCCTGCGCACGTCTCTGCAGTCTGTGCTGGAGGCAGATTCTTTTTGTTTCTTTTGCATTTTTTACAAGGGGGAAAAAAAGACACACACTGGAGAACTAGATTAAATATCACAAGGTGCATTAATTTGAGGGTTGGGGATGTGACAGCAGGCTGAAAGAGTTCTCTCTCCTGTGTGAAGTTGGGAGAATCATTTTAAAAGGCTTCCTGGAGGGTGGCTGTGTCAGCACCAGATCAGGGTCCTAGTGGGTGTCATGACCTGTGTGTTGCAGACTGGGGCATGCCTTCTTATTACATGCCTCACGTGCCAGCACTCCCCCAGGATTGGGCGTTTACTCACGTGTACTTTCCGGCACCCACAAATATAGCTTTTGTTTATGCCTCTACTTTGATTGGGCGACAGGTGCTTAAAGTTGATATGAATTGGTGCTGACATTTATGACCAATAATTTACTCTCTCATTCTAGAGTTTTCTGGGTAAATAAATCCACAATGGAGGAAATGGCTGTAGGTTAGCATATGAAAAGGGAAGCATGTGTTTCGTTATACCGTCACAGAAGTCATGCAGGAAGTGAACATTTCTGAAAGCGGAAGTGCTGCAACAGCTTTTAAAAAGAGCGATAAAAAAAAGGACAAGGTCAAACAAGATGCATTGTTTTTGAGTGAATATAGATAGAAAAGACTGCAGTTTAATTTAACTACACGTTTTCAAGACCCAGGTCAAACAGATGTCAGTAAAGGCCCTATGGAGAATCGAGAACATTAAATTAAACATAACAAGAAAATGTTTTCCATAAGTGAATAACACATTTGAACTACTTTTCCTATACATCCCACTGTCACCTGTTTTTGTTCATGTCTATAGATGTTTGGTTCTGTTCTCAGACTAATCTTAGTGGTTTGGATAAATCTGTCAAAGTCCAAGTATTGCAGGTCAGTCAGTGCAACAAAAGGAGTTAAGTTAATCCCAAATTGTCACGAGAGGTTCTTTAGGGACAGCAGCTCCACGGCTTCTCTGGAACAAACACAGTGTGCAGTAGTAAAAACCTCTTATCAACCACCAACTGCTACAGGCTACTATTTAGCACCAAACTCTTCCAGTAGCACAGATGAAACATGGATTTTTACAGTGACCCTGCAGAGACTATATAGTTTCAGAGTTTACTACTCAAATATTAAGTAAGTGAAATAAGTGTAATTGCTTGAATATGAATTAAAGCACACAATGATTATTTATTTTTACTATTAGCCTCCATAAGTAGATATGGATCTGCAAGTGTTGTAAAGGGAGAACTGGTAAATCATGAACACTAGTAGTATAGAAGTATAGTATAAATATAATTCTATATTGTGTAGTAGTGATCATGTACTGTGGGAATTAATTCAAATTGTACCATACATCATTTAATCAGGAAATATATGTTTAACATTTTCAAATTAGGAAGATCACTTTAGCCTGGTCTATGAATACTAATTCTCAAGCCGAAAAAGTCTGGACACCCGTGGTCTACAGTATTAGCAAGAAATTTATAATTTTTTAAGATACGAAGGAGCTCTAAAAGGATAGTTCTTGTTGCATATTAGATGTCAAAAAGAAGCACAGTAGTGCCTGATTTCAAACTTAATGTTTAGTGTGAACAGTAATAAATCTATATAAATGTGACTACCAAAATGGTTCTTTGCCTTCCATTCAGTAAATTCCTGGTTTAAATCAACCCTTCTGCCCCAACTCCCAACCCCAATAGTACTGCTGATGAGGAGACGAGCTGCAACATAGACAACTGAACAGATCATGTACAGAACAGGTCGTGTTTCTCTGCATTTCCGATGTCCGGCTCTGCAGGAGAGCCTTTGTTTGTCGGGGTCTGCAGTATAAGCTGTGTATTCCATCCGCAGTCACTTTAAATGTACGCGTTCATGTGTGTGTTGCAAAGAAGAGTAAAAGTCTGTGTCCTGGGGTCATGTTTCCAACCGTCTACAGTATCAGCCAAATAAGAGCGTCAGTGCTGTTTGTCTGCATTCTCACTGACAAAGCTGTGTTTTCTCCGATGACCACCACAGCAGCAATCCCCACATTCGCTTGTTTGTCACAAAGAGCTAATGAAGAGGACTCTGGGGCGGCCCACTCATGCATTCGAAGCCAGGCAATATGTTGTAAGTGCGGGTGATGGTAGAGAGTAAGTGTGCGCATTTCTGCAGGTGGGTGGCTGACAGAATGAATGAATGAATACCTAGTGGTTGTGTGTGGATGGATGTGATCTTTAAAAGCCATGGCGGCCCAGAGACAGTAGCCCCATTATCATTAATTTGCCATGAATTCCATTCAATCTCTGTGAGGAAATTGTTTGTCAAAGTTAATGAGTAAACATCTTTGTCACACAGAGGGGGCTACTGCCCGGGCCCGGCTCTTTATAGATCACATGTCCGTCACATGTGTAGAACCGCGGCGAATGATCAGAGGAGAAGATGACTTCATCCTACATCACATGTATCAGCTTGAGGTGTCTTGCTGCTCAATTTGTCCCCGCAGCTGTTTCAGGGCTTCCCCATTGAGCATCGACTTTAGGGCTTAATTCACAAAGTGTCACAAGCACCTGTAGACGTGGGGCATTACGATGATGCTAATCATCCCACCCAGCAATCATCAACCCACTCCAGTTAACACCACCTGTCAGGTGGCAAGGTGTTGGTCGCATTTTGTGTCTGGGTGCAGCCTACAATACCCAGAATTCACCCCTGCTGGGCTTTGTCTGTGCTGACGCCATACAGCAGTGGTGTTATCTCTCTGTAAGTACGTTGCTGTATCTGTGTATCTGTGTTTGTCTGGGAGGCTGGGGAAGAGCAGACCAAAAGCAGTGTGTAAGTTAATGAAGGGTGTTTAATCTGTAAAATACCGCAACCGGTCATAAGATCAACTGCTGGTTACATCAGACTGAAGTGTTGTTTTGTAAATGGCATAATACAGTATATTTTGTGCAAAGCATAAAGAAAACATTCAGAGGAAATAATTTTCTCAGCTCTGTCTCTTTTTACGTGAAATCAATTTTTAGAGATGACACAAACTTATCCAGTTCATTGATATAAATAGATGTAGGTACTAGTCAAAGTTTTAATTCAGCAGAAAGCACATTTCCAAAAAGCTAATGAACATGCATATGAACCAAGAAAGTCTTTTTTTTTTTACTTTTGTTTACGTAAACATACCATTCTATTACATTTCCTTTTTTTATGTCATGCACATTCAGCAGCAGTTTCTGCCCTTGACCGATAAATACAAAGATTTCTGCTGACTCCCTGAAGTCTGAGAGGATCTCAGGTTCAGCACAAAGTGTTGAATCATACTCTCTGACAGCAAGAAAACAAACCTTCACTGGGTACTCCTGTACAACCACACTTAGCTTAGCTACAACCAAGCTTAGCATAATTATTAGAAAACCACACAGCAGTGGTGCTTGTCATTCTTTGCCAACTTTTTGGAGCACTTTTGAATCATGCTTTAAATTTTATAAATGTTATATATTTTACCAAACAGCAATTAGAATATCAGTAAACGCTGCCACTAACACACACACACAAAATCTGTCTGACATGTGAATCTTTCTTCTAACACATTTACAGGAACTGTATTCCTATATGAAATAGAGATTTCTGAATTTTAATTATATGCAGACTTCCACATTTGAATACATCTGCGATCCACACAACCCGTATAGCTCTTTAGTGTGACCCATTTTTATGCCAACATTATTTTTGTAAGTAGAGCAAATTCATTCATTATGTAGCTTAGAAAGGAGGTTAGGTGCAGGATCGCAGAGGAACGTAGTGAGGATGGTGCCAGGCCTTTCCAGGTAGATGATTTGATTAGTGGGTTTAAGTGAGAACAGACTCTCAGTGCACCAACCTGTGAGCCGCTAACAAGATTATGAGTCATCTGTTCAGGCTCTGCTAGCAGTGGTTGCTAACCACACTTCTCTCCTTGTGTACAAAAATATAACCACATCATCCCAGAAATCACTGAACATAATTCTTAGACATTTTCCATTTAGACACTGCTTAGTACTCACCTAAAAATGTGGAATTTACACGTTTTAAGGTCCATGTTTTGGGTTTGACGTGCCTCTTGAACCTGTCAGTGCACAGTATCTGCCTCCAACAGCATACTGATATCTGCTAACGTGATACGTGCCTCTGGCGCCCTCTGCTGTCAGCCGCGAGTCATAGTGGAAGCATGATGGGATCGTGAAGTACAGGGAAAATCCATCTGCGTCACATCCACTGTCTCTCTACTTCATTGTTTACATCTCCTCTCATCTGTTTCCCCTTGTGTTCACCCCTTACCTCACGCCTGTGCCTTTAGGTTGCTCCTTTGTGACAACTTATTCATCACGTTTTCATTAAACTATG